ACAGGTAAATGGTTTTCCAAAAATATATTTGAAGAAATAAGAAAAACATCCTCAAATTAACTGAGTGCTATATCTTTTTAAAGTTTGAATATGAACATTAGGAAGGATCAAAGGAAAATGAACAAAAATTTGTGGTTACAGATTGTTATATCCATCTAGCACAGAGATATTTTTAAATTCTTCTTACCTCTTTGAAATGATAGTGCTTAATTCCTAATAAACTTTTGCAACTAACAACTTACTATACAGTCTAACTCTGTTTCTTAGAATTAAGACAATACAGGGTTATTTCAAACACCATAAAATTTATGGCTTTAAATAAAGTTAGGATGAAAAAATTTAGTAGGCATTCTTTCACATCTCTAAATAAATTGCACATAATTATAAATATATATTTAAAAATAAAAATTATTATTTATTTGAATTTGTTTAAAAGAATACATTTTTACCACTAGTGTGCCTGCTGCTTTTCTCTTTTATTATTATTTTATGAAAATTCAAGACAGGATTCACCAGAATGGAAGCTGGAGATTCCGAGGTTGTAAAGAAATAAAAGCAAGTTTAGTAGGTAGAATCAAGGAGAAAGTCTTTTTCTGATTCCTTGGCATTACAATATTTAGCATTAAGTTTTGTGAATTGTTGCTTATTTTTCTTACTTAGATTCACATGTGCAAAATATGTACATTCTTAGTTTTTGTATGTCAGTAGTCTTTTAGAATTCTATCTTTGAACTGAAGTTTAATACAAAGTCCTTTTGTTAAATAACTAAATTTAAGACTTAGTTAACTAATTTTAAAAGAAATGTTCTAATTTTATAACTGATAACTTTATAACTTATAATTTTTATAAAATTATAACAAATAATTTTCAAAGAAATTTTCTGATTTTAGAAAACTATATTCTTCATGCTATTGTGTGTTGAGTCATTCATTGAAAGAAAATTTGTCTAAATTCTACACTAAATGAAAATATACTTAGGTGTGTGAAGGAGAAGTCTCAGAAATTGTGATAGAAGAGTTACATAATCCCCTAGAGAGGAAACATTTTCCAGGATAGAAGCTCACATAGTCCAAAAATTATTTAATCGTGGATCATGATCTAAGCTATTAGATGGAGTATGGAAGTAGCAATATAGTTCTTTATTTATTTATATTTAACTTCCAGGGCTTACATTATATCATTTCTGTCTCTTGGTTAGAAGTAGAAAAAAGATAATTTAGTATAAGCTAATTTCTGACGAATAATATGACATGAGATGTTCAGAGGTCCTCACTCTGAAAATTAACCATATTTTGGTAACACCAAAACTTACTCAACATTTCTTCTAAGGAAAGTGACTCAGCATCTGAGTGTTACAATTGCAAGTGAATCTGCCTTCTGCCTATGGGAATGATAGAATGATGATGGAAGAATGTGATGAATCAGAATTTTAAAAGCCACCAGAATTCTACCTTGGCAGCATTAGTGTACAGAACTCTTATAGAGACCCAAATCCTGTATCAGATTGTCTCAGAAAGCATAAAAATCCAGTTTCCAACAGTGATTGAATTTGCTAATTACATCTAAGGTCTATGCAGTCCCTATTCATTGTAATATCTGACAATTTCATAAAATAATCTATTCTTAACTTGATTAGCAATATATATATATCACTAATATATTCAAATACATATTGTATTAGTATGTTTATGTATCCTAATATAGAGATATTAGTAGAGGGAAGACTTACCACTACCATCTTCCTGTTCAATAAGAGTTGGTATCAAATTCTTTTATTATATATTTTCTGTTAGTGGGGATGGCAAATGCATGAAGTTTGGTACAGTGAGTTTATCTTGAGCCATAATCCTGTCTTGAGTACATAAAAATCTATATAAATTTATGTGCATATATTCAATCTTTGTAATTCAAGATAACAGAGCTTATCATTTCTAGGCACAAGGCTTAGCACTTTGGTAACATAGATATAAATATTCTCTAGGAATAGTGAATGGTGAGTAAAATTAAAATGGGAATTAGAAAGATTTCCAGGATATTATCACTCAGAAAGATATATTAAAATAAAGAAAATGAAATTCAATATGTACATCAGAATCTCAGATCTAGAGCCTATATCTCTGCATTATTTTTATGCAAAAGTTTTGTGGTCTATTAAATCTATTTTGAGTTCTGCTCATGAAGATATATTTTAAATAAATGTTCTTCTTTTACATTGGAATATCTCCCAGATCCCCCACACCAAAAAGAGAACTGTGAGACTTACCAGTTATTAATATCAGTTATTAAATCAACAACTGGGCCGGGTGCAGTGGCTCATGCCTGTATTCCCAGTACTTTGGGAGGCTGAGGTGGGCGGATCACAAGGTCAGGAGATCGAGACCATCCTGGCCAACATGGTGAAAACCTGTCTCTACTAAAAATACAAAAATTAACTGCGCGTGGCAGCATGTGCCTGTAATCGCAGTTACTCAGGAGGCTGAGGCAGGAGAATTGCTTGAACCCAGGAGGCAGAGGTTGCAGTGAGCCAAGACCTTGCCACCGCACTCCAGGCTGGCGACAGAGCCAGACTCAGGCTCAAAAAAAAAAAAAAAAAAAAAGAAAGAAAAAAAAAAATTAACTACTATATAGAACCAATTGGAGCTAAAACAACATAGAGACCGGAATTTCAGGTAGGCCATCTGTTGTTATTGTTGTTGCTGTTGTTTAAAGGCATGTGAAGAACAGAAAAAAAAAAAAAAAAAAAAATCAAGGGATTTTAGCCAGAAAGATAAAATTGGCCAGTTTTAGGAGAGGAATGGAGGAATGGTTAGGGATTACAGGTTATAGTTACATATTTTAAGGTTATTATTTGGATGAGGAAACATGACAATTCCTGTTTACGTAGCGAAGAGAAGTTCCATAGGGTCAATGTGATTCAATACGTAGGATGCCTTTCCAAGTGGTTTCAACAATAAAATAGATTGCCTAGTGAGTGGTGTTTCCTCCATTGGAAATATTTTTTTATTATAGATGGAAATATATAATATAATTATGTAAATTTAAAATAAACCTTTCCCAAAGATATTTAATTCCCAAATATAATTTTAATGTATTATTTAATAGATGATGATTTGATACATAAATAATATTTATTGGGGACTTGCTATGTATCAGGCAATTGTGCAAGGATCTTTACCAGACATAACTTTTCCAAGTCTTTTATAAAACTCTGCATAATAAATACAGCTTATCATCAATATTTTAGAGGATAAAATTGAGGTTTACAGAGAAGTAACCTGGCCAAGGTCACATAGTTGGAAAATAATAGAGTTGGTTCTCTAGCAGAAAAAGATGAATATATCTGCCAGAGATATTTAAAAAACTATTTTATACTAAATCAGAAATAGAAATAGATGTTTCCTAAATCCCAGACAGGTTAATGGCAGAAACCATTTTTTCTAAATGTTTGAATGGAGACAGGCAAGAGAAAACATCACATATTGAGTTTTTTGATCTCAATATTTTTTGTATATCTCTTCCACAATATCTATAAAATATAGATACACCATAAATAGCAATTTAGTCAAACTGGTCTCTTCGGACAGTATGATAGGAAATACTTGGAATTTAAAAATAAATATGTTTTCAGTTTTTTTCTTTAATCAAAGATTTCTCAATACCAACCTGTTGTGAGACAGATATTACTTGAAATGACAAACACGTTAATAATAAAGGGATGCACAACTGTTTGCTCTATCTTTCCCTGATATTTCTGCATGTCAGTTGCTTTCCTAAACTGGAAGCAAAACATATTTGCTTCTTTGGGTATGCTTATCACCTTCAAAGCCATAACCATTTCTTTGCAGTGATCACTTTGTTTAGGTGTTAAATCAAACAATGGAAACTTTGAGTTTAACCCGAGTGAGATTTTCACATTGGAATGAATCTCATGAGGATCTCTTTAAGGTCACTGCCAAATTACAAGATGTAATTTGAAAAGTAAGTGGAGCAAAATTGTATCGTGCTGCTATCTTAATGCCTTTCCCTATTTGCTCCCCCTCAGCACCCCTAATTCTTCTTGTTTATTTCCCCCCCACAAGAATGCCCTCTCTTTCTGACTTTTAAGTAGAACAAGTGAGTAACCAAGTATAGTTCAAGAGAGAGATTTCACTTTCTTGCTTCACCCTTCCCCATTTTGCCCCTCCCTGTGTGCACTCTGTCCTGGCTTCTTGGTTTTAAGTTCTGGATGATACCTGGCAATAACAGAGAGACCATTATAATTTCATCTTGAATTCCAGGTTTCTTTTGATTTACAGTCTCAGAAGAAGTATCAGCTCTTTAGTCATGTTGTTTATTTCACATTGAACCATCCCATTTTGAAAGCCAGCGTTTCTTATCATTATAAGGCAACCGTGTTTACAAGAATAAGACAAGGCTTCCTGCTGAGAAACATGCTCCTTTGATGGGAGTCAATGAAACTAAGACAACATATTCTGAAACATTCATTCTTAAACTGGCTTTTCATTTCTGGAACTGCATTTATATTTATAAATAAGGGTAAATGTGTTTTATAAAAGAAACTCTTTTGAGGTTGCTGGCAGCTCAGCTTTTTTCTTTTTTCAAATATGTATACAAGAGTAAAAAAGAAACTGATCTGCATATTAACACTATCTGGAATAATTTATGATAAAAATCAGTAGGATTCTAGTAGATGAATGCAAATTAGACCTTTTAAATCAAAACCTAAATTAATCATTGAGTTATAATTGCAAAGTAATATTATTCTACATTAGGTAGCATTGGGTCGCATCGTTATTTCAGTCATATGACAGAAAAGGGCCTTGACAGCCTATGTTCTCCCCTTTTCACCATTTAAAATACTAATGATCATGCCACTGGCCTCTCATCCAGTCAGTGAAAAGTCAGACTATTGATCTATGGCATGAGTAGCCCAGTGTTTTCATTTATTTGTTGTTCTATTCCTGTGTTCTTGTTTATCTTCATTTCATTTTTGTTTTCAGTTGACATGTGGTCAGTAGGGTGCATCATGGGAGAAATGATAAAAGGTGCAGTGCTGTTTCCTGGCACTGATCGTATCCTTCTTAGCAGCCAGTGGTATCTATGGGTGTCACTCTCAATTAATTCCCTTTTGTCTCAAATGCAATACTGCTTATGGTATTTGTTCACTGTCCTTAGAGAGTTTCTGCGAGACTCAATGTCAAATATTTACAAGCTGGCATTATGGCAGAGTAACTTGGTCTCCTAGTAAGATCTTATGTGGATAATACAGTAACAAATATGAAAGAATCAATCTGATATCGAAAGGTCTGCCTTAAATCAGTTCTATCAAACTAATAACTTTGAGTGCTATTCTTCCTTCTTTTTGTTGTTGTAGATGTTTCAAAATTAAGATATATTCATAGATAATAAATAACAAAGTCTTTCAGTTCTAAGACTGAAGATTTATACTTTGATATAATGAGAAATATTCATTTGGCATGGAAATTTTTATCAGATTCATGTTCTTCCACAAATACTAATTGGTTTATTTTAACATATATTTAGAAAGCATGGATGTGAATTTCATTTAAAATTGATCAACTTTTTCTAAAATTATTTTTCTTATTCACTCCATTTATGGGAATAATAGCTCCAATTCCTTCTCTTATTTTCTGCATATTATTAACAAGTGCAATACTTAAAACCTCATTAATTAACAACGGTTATATAAAATATCTGAAGAAATACGTTGAAATCACTTGAATAAGTAAAAGTGATTCTCTCTTAAGCAGCAAATAATTAAAAAGTGAAGATCAAGGCCAGATGTGGTAGCTCATGCCTGTAACCCCAACACTTTGGGAGGCTGAATTAGAAGGATCAGTTGAGCCCAGGAGTTTGAGACCAGCCTGGGCAACAGAGCAAGACCCTTCTCTCTACAAAAACAAAAACAAAAAATTTAGCCAGACATGGTGGCAGTACCTGTAGTCTCAGCAACAAAGAAACTAGCTGGGAGGACAGCTTGAGCCCCAAGGTCAAAGCTGCAGTGAGCAGCGATCATGCCGCTGCCCTGCAGCCTAGGCAACAGAATGAGACCCTGTCAACAAACAAACAAACAAACAAACATACAGATTCCAGAGGTTCTGTAGTATTAAATATATATGAATAGTGTGTGATTAGTGATTTGTATATGGATATATCATGGGTCCTAGCATCAGGCTTAAAAATAAGTTACTCCTTTAGTTAGTTAAATATGCCTGTACACTTAGTCACTTACAAAAGTTTTATGTCTTCGTCCTACTAAAGGTAAAACCTCTGCTTTAATAACATACTTCAAAAATAAAATTGAGCCTATAATAATGGGGTTTTAATGTGTAATTTGACTAAATCTAATTACTAATATAGTGCATCCATACCATATTATGATTAGCCATTTGCATTGTTTCTAATACCTACATTACAATTTTTAATCAAATGTCTACAATGTAATATACAAAATCGAGGATTAATATTTATATCTGGTTTTACATATATATACATATAAAAATATATATATGGTTTCATACATATATTCTCTCTACATATTAAAAGAAACAGTTCTAGAAATGATTGAATTAGGCACTCAATTTTTGTTGGAAGAAAGAACTTAAAATACTTTAGTTAAAAATAAAGTTACACTGTTTTTACTTCTGATTATTCTTACTAAAAACTTTTTTTCTAATCTTCTATTTGACACACATTTTAAGAAGTCTTTCTGTCTAAATTGCTGTTTTATCTTCTAAATATACATTTCATTAAATGACATCTATAATTTACCAAATCAATGTTAATGCTATTTGAAACTATGCTGACTTTATAAAAATTGAATTCCTTCAGATTTCTTAAAAATCAGGAAGAATTTAAAAAAACAGGACTTCTTTTATTCCCAATGAATTATAAACTTGTGTTGGCCTTTGGGCGTGAATATGAAATTGTCTTTAAGTTTGGCTGATTTTAGATAATTTGATGAAAATAGATTCAATTTGTTAACCTCTTTGCTTTTCCAGAAGTTCATTGTGGTTGAATAATTGGTGACTGAAATGAATATTTGCCATCTGTAAATTAAAATGAGTGTTTTTATGACCTTTGTTATGCTTCTATTAAGAAAAATTAAAACAGATTTCTACAACTGAATTACCAAATACAATTTAACATTTTTTAGAATAGTTTCGTGGGAAAAGTTAATTGTGTGTCATTTTTTAACTTGGGTGTCAAAATTCCTTGTAAACAATGCTTTAGGGTTCTGGTAATGTGGCAGTATCCCGTTCAATGCCCTTGATATTTGGAAATGAAGTCCTTTATGGAGCTCTTTCATGGGGACATATTTGTAAATTTCTTGGAGGACAAATAAGAATCATTTTCTAAAGTATGTCTTCTGATTGTGGGCTGTGGTCTCTTAATTATTTCAAACATGTTGGTTCAAGTTTTAAATCAGTCTTTTTAAAGCAAACAAATTATGAACACTGAATATCAAACAACCTCAACATGTAAGACATTACTGATGTAAAAAATTCTGTTATTAGAAATGAGTTATCTGAAAAGACAATAAAATTATACCTAAATCTATTAGTTAAATAGAGACATTAAAATAGAGCTGGATATATGCCATATGTATAATATACACCTATATAATACATTATGAGGAGTTATGTTATTTTTAATCAATATATCCTCATTTATATAAGAACACTCTCAAAACAATGATTTTTAAAAGCTCTTGGAATATGAGCTCTGCAAATCTTTTTTTTATTTTTAATTTTTCTGGGTACATAATAGGTGTATATATTTATGGGACACATGAGATGTTTTGATACAGGGATGCAATGCATAATCATATCATGGAAGATGGAATATCCACTCCCTCAAGTATTTATCCTTTGTGTTACAAACAATTCAGTTATACTCTTTTAGTTATTTTAAAATGTACAATTAAATTATTATTTACTATAGTCACCCTGTTGTGCTACCAAATACTAGATCTTATTAATTCTTTCTAACTTTTTATTTTAGCTATTAACCATCCCCGTCTACCACCTCCTCTGCTATCCTTTCCAGCCTCTGGTAACCATCCTTCTACTCTATCTCAATGAGTTCAATTGTTTTGATTTTTTAAATTAATTTTAATTTTCGTTTTAAGTTCCAGGGTACATGTGCAGGATATGCAGGTTTGTTACATAGGTAAACGTGGACCATGGTGGTTTGCTGCACCTATCAACTCATTGCCTAGGTATTAAGCCCAGCATGCATTAGCTATTTTTCCTAATGCTCTCCCTCCACCCACCTGGCTTCCCTGAGAGGCCCCAGTGTGTATTATTCCTCTCCCTGTGTCCATGTGTTCTCATTGTTCAGCTGCCACTTGTAAATGAGAACATGTGGTGTTTGTCTTTCTGTGCTTCGCTTATTTCACTTAACATTTTTAAATGTACCACATTTTCTTTATGCATTCATCTCTTGATGGATGCTTAGGTTGCTTCCAAGTCTTGGCTATTGTGAACAGTGCTGCAACAAACATGGGAGTGTAGATGTCTCTTCGATATACTGGTTTCCTTTCTTTTGTGTATATACCCAGCAGTGGGATTGCCAGATCATATTGCAGCTCTATTTTTAGTTTTTTTGAGGAACCACAGAACTGTTCTCTTAGTTATTATATGAATTTACACTTCCAGGAGTGTACAAGGGTTCCCTTTTCTCCACATCTTCGCCAGCATTTGTTGTTGCCTGTCTTTGGACATAAGTTATCTTAATTGGGGAGAGATGATATCTCGTTGTAGTTTTGATTTGCATTTCTCTGATGATCAGTGATGTTGAGCACTTTTTCATATGCCTGTTTGTCATTTGCATATCTTCTTCTGAGAAATGTCTATTTAAATATTTTGCCCATTTTTAATCAGATTATTAGATTTTTTTTCCTATAGAGTCGTTTGAGCTCCTTATATATTCTGGTTATTAATTCCTTGTCAGATGAGTAGTTTGAAAATATTTTCTCTCATTCTGTAGGTTGTCTCTTCACTTTGTTGATTATTTTCTTTGCTGTGCAGAAGATTTTAGTTTGATATGATCCCATTTGTCCATTTTTGCTTTGGTTGCTTTGTTTGGGAGGTATTACTCAATAAATTTTTGCCCAGACCAATGTCCTAGAAAATTTCCCCAATGGTTTCTTATAGAAGATTGATAATTTGAAGTCTTATATTTATGTCTTCAATCCATTTTGATTTGTATTTTTGTATCGGTGAGAGATAGGGATCTAGTTTTATTCTTCTGCGTATGGATATCCTGTTTTTCCACACCATTTATTGAAGGGACTATCTTTTCCCCAATGTATGTTCTTGGCACCTTTGTTGAAAATGAGTTCACTGTAGGTGTGTGGATTTGTTTCTGGGTTCTATCTTCTGTTCTATTGATCTATGTGTCTGTTTTTATGCCAGTATCATGCTGTTTGGTTACTATAGTTCTGTAGTATAGTGTGATGTCAGGTGATGTGATTTCCTCCCATTTGTTCTTTTTGCTTAGGATAGCTTTGACTGTTCTGGGTCTTTTGTGGTTCCATATAAACTTTAGGATTGTGTTTTCTATCTGTGAAGAATGCCATTGGTATTTTGATAGGAACTGCATTGGATCTGTAGATTGTTTTGGGTAGTATGGACATTTTAGCAATATTCGTTTTTCCAATCCATTAATATGTAATATCTTTCCATTTTTTTGTTTCCTATTCAATTTCTTTTCATCAGTGTTATATAGTTTTTATTGTAGAGATCTTTCACTTGTTCACTTAAGTTACTTCTTAGGTATTTTATTTTATTTGTAGATATTGTAAATGGGATTACTCTTTTGATTTCTTCTTCAGATTGTTCACTGCTGTCATACAGAAATGCTACTGATTTTTTCTGTTGATTTTGTATCCTGTGACTTTACTGAATTTATCAATTTGAATAGTTTTTTGATGGAGGCTTTGTTTTTGCAAACATAACATTATATCATATGCAAACAAGAATAATTTGACTTCTTCTTTTCCAAGTTGAATGATCCAGAAATGCCATCCAAGAGCCAAATCCTGAAA